TCGTCTTTGCTCCCGCCTCCTTGCTCCAGGGCAGCAGATCCCGATCCCGCGCCTCTTGGGGCAAAGGAGGTGGAGGAACAGAGCTCGGCCGGCGGAGGCGCCCAAAGCCCCCGGGGGCTGGGCGGATGCTGCGGGGACCCTCCCTTGCCGCTCCTGGGAGGGCAAGGGCCGGCTCCTCCGGGCACCCTTTCGCCAGGCAGGATTGCCGCCCTTCCTCGCGTGGGCCGAGCAGCGACTTCCCGCCTCGCTCCCGGCTCCTCCCCAGCGGCCAGCCGGCTGTCCAGCAGCGCCCACGGCGCTACCCCCGTAGCCGCCCCGTTGCCTTGAAAGTGGAGGCTCCGCAGGGTTCTTCGAAGGGCGCCTCCCGCTCCGTCTCTGGCTTCCTCGGAGGCGGCCCCGCGCTGCGAGCGTCTGCCCCGCAGCTTGGAGAGAGTCCTGCGGAGCAGGTCAGCCATGCCTCATCTCCCAGCACGCCTCCTTCCTTCCTTCAACGAGTGGCCCGGGACCCCGGCGAGACCAAGGGTCTGGCGGCAGGGTGGCCCTCGGAAGAAGGCGGCGGCAGGGGCAAGAGCGGCAGCGGCAGCAAGCGCAGCACCCGGCAGTACTGTAGCCCACCCTGTAGGAGGAGCGCCCCATGGTCTATCTATAGCCAGCGTTCGGTGCGAGCGCCCGGCTCTCTCGGCTTTCGCTGTCGACGAACGACAGCAGTTTGAATTTCCCACTTTCCCCGCCTCTCCGGCCCCTTTCCCCCCCACTTTTTGGTTCATATGTCAATTCTCCGTTTGCAAGTCCAAATGGATTTTTGCGGACGGAGAAGTACGCAACTCAAAAAGTACGCAACTCAGGCCGTTCACAAGTCAAGACCCCACTGTACCAAAATGTGTTTCCTATGCCAAGTGCCTCATGCTGCATTTACAGTTAGTGGCATGTCCAATCCTAGTTCTTCTATTCCATAACAGTGCAACTTTGGGGCTCTCCCCTTGGACTACACACCTAAGAATAGGAAAGCACTTCATGGTTTAATGCTAAACTATACAGGTATGTGAAAACGTTAGTCCTCTTTATATTTGTACAAATAGGATCTCAAATAATGAAGTCCTATCTCTTGCTACTTGCAGTCTGCAAAAACACCTAAATTATTTTAGTTTAAGAATTTTATTACTGTTTATTGACTATTTTTAAAATGCACCATCAATACAAAAGACACACATTAAAGTGACTGCTGAGTGAGACTTATTGGATAACTTTTCACCAAACTTAATGTTGGGTTTGTTGGAGCCCAAACATTTGAACATCCCCAGCCACGTTACTTTTCAGTGTTATTATTTCATCCAGATTCCCTGTTTCTGTCTTCAAAACAGTCAGGAGCATTCGAGTACTTTCCAAGATCTTCTCATAGGCCAGTTCAGTTTCAGCAAGAATTTTATCAAGTTTCTTCTGTGCAGCAATTTTCTCCTCCAAGCGTTCGCAAACTGACTCCAAACGTTTTGTTAGTTTCTTGAGTTCATCCTGGGTCTTATTCTTCTCTTCTTCTGCTTGACCAATCTGCTTATTCAGCTCTTCTCTTTGGATACATAAGTTTTCCATGTATTTCACAAGTTCATTATTATAGCTTTGTAGAACAGCCCCCTGATGAGTCATCCTCTAGGTTCCACCTTGTTGGGAAAGGAGGAATAATTTTCTTCCGCTGGTTGTACATGCCACCATCAGCTTCCTATTTCAGATTTCAAAAAGGAAAGAACCATCTGTCAGTACTGCTATGTCAAGCCAGCATGTGCACAAAGCAACACAAATCAACAGCCAAAGATTACAATGTGATTAAAGAAACCATTTTTGTAAGCTTCCAAGAATCCTATTTTGCCATCACTCAATGCTGTGACCTCTTAGATTTGCTTGGCTACTGATATTTTAAGCAGCTGATGGTGGTGTTCAGACTTCACCAATCCCATGAGCCACTGTTGGGCGGGGGTCATTCATCTCCTCCCCATCCCAGTGATCTGCTCAATACTGCCAGTGGGGAAGCTGAAGAGCCATTCAGTGAAACTCTTCAGGACTGCTGGTAAGAAGGGGAGGCTTTCCAGCATTTGTGCTGGAAAAAAGTTATCACAGGAACTACAGTGGTGCCTCGCAAGACGATGTTAATTCATTCCACGAAAATCACTGTTTTGTGAAAACATCATCTTGCAAAATGCAGTTCCCCACTGGAATGCATTGAAATCCATTTAATGCCTTCCAATGGGGAAAATAGCCATCGTCTTGCGAAAATCACCCATAGGGAAAACTTTTTTGCGGAGTGTGGACCAGCTGTCAAAATAGCTATCTTGCGAAAAATGGTCCCAAAAAACCCCCATCTTCTGAAGCACGGACTGAAACATCATCCAGCGAAAATCGCCCATAGGGAAAACCATTTTCTGAAGCGCTACAGCAATCACAAAAACTCATCGTCTCGCGAATAAACCGTTTTGCGAGGTACCACTGTATTGTATTTATATCTTTCCCAGCATTCCAGGTTCTGTATGGAAATGTGGGAGAAATGATGGTGTAGGAGATTCATTCTTGTACATCCTGTCTCTTACTAGAATCAAAGCAAAAGCAAAAAGCATGTTGCTTATATACCGCCCCATAGCACTTCAGGCACTCTCTGGGCGGTTTACAAGTTAATTATGCACGCTACACATTGCCCCCCCAGCGAGCTGGGTACTCATTTTACTGACCTTGGAAGGATAGAAGGCTGAGTGAACCTTGAGCTGGCGGACCTGGGACTGAACCCCAAGTCGTGAACACAGTTTTAGCTGTAGCACAGCAGTTTAACCACTGCGCCACGAGGCTCAGGTTCCCTCTGGGCTACCAGACAGCTGCTCAATTCTGCTGGCAAACAAGGTGTATGAGAATTAATTCTCGTCCTGTGCAGCTTTTGCAGACAACAATTCAGTGACATTCTGAGGACACCTTACAATGGGCTCCAGTTGCTCACTTATTTCAAAAATGTTTGCTGAATGACTTTCCATGTAAAATGAAGTGCACCATTCATTTGGCTTTGTTCTAAATGCATGCAGCATTTTTCTCTTTTCTCAAACATTTTATGTGCATATAGTCTACTGAAATCAATGACACTTCAAATAGTAACATAAAGGGTAATATTGTAACTCCCACTGTATTCAAGAGAAATTACTCCCAAGCAAGCGCATGTAAGATTGTACTGTGATAACTTTTTTTTTAAAAAATGAAGGATTGAGGGAAACCAGAGGGAACAAAAGTCCAACAGATACTTTAAATGAAATCTGTTTAAATAATTCTATGGGAAGCCAAAACAGATACAGGCAGGCATCCCAGCACATGAACATAAAGGACTGGGCACAGATTGTTCTGAACTGCATTGATCTTATTTTATGCAAGTTAGGAAGAGCCCTGCTATAGGTAATGACCTGTCACTCTCTCACACCTTCCTTCCCTCCTTAATTGCAACTTTCCCTCGTCCTGCTTGCAGTTACCTCCGGCGGGGCGGAAGCAGTCATTCACAAGCTGGACTGACTGCCCGGCGCTGTTCTACAGCTGTAACCAGAAACCACTGAGTCCCAGAAAAGAAGAATCTAGTCTGCAAACCAATACAGCCATGTTCCTTATATGCGGCTCCTGGCCACATTTTCAAAGCACCCAACCAACAGAACCTATAACAAATGGAAGAAAGTTTGTAGGTGTGTTTAACCATGTAAAACATGTTGTAGCATATATTTGCACAACTGAATAGGCAATTGCTTTAATAGATGTGTAGGTGAATTGGCATTTTATGCATGTATATGCATAAGGAACATGAGAACATGCATGCGTATCTGAACTGCTATTACGAATGTGCAGTTGAATGATTATGCACAAGTATTGAACAATGAGTCTGTAAATATTTATCAAATAAAGGAGCATGGAGGAGGAAGAATGATATAGGCAAAATACACAATCCTATCTTTTCTCTTGCTCTCTCTATTTGGTCCACAAATGTTTGTCTATTACACTAAGTCTTCGCCTCCTCTGATTCCAAAGTGTTGTTAAGCTGTTCCACATCTATATACTGACTTGGAAATATAAATACGTATACAGTCTGCTTCCTCATTGGCTTGATGCTGGAAAACAAGTATGATCTGAGACCAACATGTGCATTAGACAACCAGGATTGATCAGATTTTGGATTAGGCCATTGGCTTACAGAGCTTGGTGATGGTTTCTGACAAGATTTCATTTTGTCATGATTTATGGATGCCAAGAATGTGGGACTACCAAAGCATTTGCTTTGTTACCTGCAAAATGTTTACAGTAAAATGCAGTTACAATCCAAGCTTCAAGATGACACACATTTACTGAAAATTGAGGAGAACTGAATTTTGGAATAGTTTTAAATCTCCAGGAGGTTCTTTCCTCGAACTCTGCGAAGACTACTAGAACTTTTACTAGAGTTGGACTATTCACAATGCTGGTGATACAAATATTGGTACCACAGGGTTCTTGTGGAGATTCAGCCCCTGCACCCTGAACCAGCCCGTCCACTTACTGGTTGTTGTGTGGTGCGCGTGGCTGTTGTCCAGATCATCATGCCAATTGCAGAAGCAGCCAAGCCGGCGCTTCCCCCTCCCCGTGCATCCTACTGCCTAACAGCTCAGTAGGGAGACTCTTCATCCCATGTCCTTACCGGGGTGGTTGGCTGCGCGGGGAGAGGAAGCACTGACCAGGTTGCTTCCACAATTAGTATGACAAGGCAGATAACAGCTATGCATGCTGAACGGCAACTGCTGAGTGGACTAGCTGGTTGGGGGGGGCGGCTGGATCTCTGCAGCACTATTCATATCCCCAGGGATACAAATACCCCAACTCTTATTTGAACCACGGGCAATGGTGGATGAGCCAAGAGGGCAGAATTTCAGACCACAACTTCCACAATACCTTAGCCACCTGGGGGAGCTTATGCGCTGTACAGCAGAAAATTTTCCAAGGTCTATAACAGGCTGGCATTTTACATCTCAGCTCAACTATGACACTTATTTGGAGAAGCTCATACCAATCAAGCAACCTATAATACATGTCTCTCAGAATGCTGATACCATGGACGGATCACGAGAAGGCAAGTCTCTTTAGAAAAGACAAGAGTGCTAGGAAAATCGGAAGGCAATAGGGACAAAGGAAGACCTAGCATGAGATAGCTTCACCCACTAAAGGAACCACAGCCTTTCGTTTGCAAGGCTGTTAACAACAGGACCTTTTTTTTTGCAGGCCATTAATTCATAAGGTGGGCCATAAAGTGACTCGATAGGACATAAGAAGAAGAGGAAGATCACCGGAGGGGGAGGGGCCACTTTCAATTCCTCTCTCCTGCCGCTCCAGTATGTATGTCCAGTGGCAAGTAGTGCCTGCTCCACTGGTGCGGCAGAAAATACAATAAAGATAGCCAGAAAGGACAAGGGCATCCAGGGGCAGAAGTCAGGGGCATTCATGCAGGCAGATGTGTGCGCGCGCACATACAGAGCGAAACAAGCATCCACACGTGCACACCACCACAGGAGGGACACACAGGCAAGGGTCCGAACCTCCTTCTCTGACGACGACGAATAAGCTGCCGGGGGAAGGGGGGGTAACCGGAGCCCAAGAAGACCTCTTGGCCCTCGTGAAGCGGCCTCCGGAGGCTTTTCTTTTCCAGGGCTCCGGTCCCGAGCGAGGCCAGCTGCCTACAAGCCAACGGGGCTCGGCCGGGGGGAGGCTCCTCACGGACCGAGGGGGGCAAAAAGCTGCGTCGATTCGCGCCCTCCTCCTCTCTGGGCAAATCCAGGAGCTCAGCCGCCCCCTTTCCTCTTTCTGCCCTCAAAACGAGAAGGAGCGGAAAAAGGCGCGGCGGCAGAGGCAGCAGCACCGGCTGGGTCCGGGCAGGTGCCTCTCGCTTGGCTTCCGCGGCTGGCAGCGGGGCTCGCCCGGGCCCACAACCACCCTCCCATCCCCGGGGGGCGCGCCTGCCCGACCAGCGACCAAGGAGGCCGCGCGGCTCCTTCCGGACTCGCTTCAGAGCAGCCCCTCGGCACCTGCGGGGCGGAGACTTCGGCTGCAACAGCCCCAAACACAGCTGGTGGGGGGGGGCGGGGGGAGGAAAAGAGGGAAACACCCCTGCGCCTGCGCACTGGAAAGAGTGAGGCTGGCATGCCCTTCGCTTTCCCCCACTTCACCCCCTTTTCCCGCCTTCAGAAAGCAAACTCCCCCCCCTCCCCAAGATGCCAGGCAGGCCGCCGCGCTCGGCTGCATAAGCCGCAGCGACATCTTGGGCGCCTCCACACACAGAGACAAGGAAGGAGGGCTGGAGATTGATAGCCCGGCGCGATGCAGGCTTGCTCAGGAACGAGACCCATTTCCGAGCGCAAGCAGTCCTGTTTAAGCCAAAGAGATTGTGCCTATAGGGCACTCTGGCTAGCCTGGGAGTTTTTTTTTTCCCAGTCAGCGACCCACTTTGCTGGAAGGAACCATGAAATGGGAGCTTCCAGCCGAGTCCCTTCCCAATGCGACATTTTAAGCCCCTTCTTTTGGACTCGCCCCAAGGAGGCTTGTCCTGGAGACTCAAAATGGTTCCTGGCTCTACATCCCGCAGGAAAAAAAAAGACTTTCGGCATCCTTTCCAAAACCGCCGTCCATACCCAGTCTTTCCCTGGCGCTTTATCCTCTCTCCTCAGCATGCATGCTAATTGTCGTCCTTGTTAAGTGGAGCCGAGCCGGGCGGAGAAAGGCGACGCCCGCCCCCCCGCCAAGACAAGAGCGGCTCCGGCCATCTCGAGCAAGAGCGAAAGGAAAGTGACCTCAGCCAATCAGAAGCTCGGAAGTGGCTCCACCAGTAGGCGCGCAGCTTTTTCAGGGCTTCCGAATGCGTTTAGAAAAGCGGGGTCACGGAAATAGCCGAAGGGGGCGGTGTTCTTTTTTTTTCTTCCCCTTCCTCCGGAAATAGCCGATGTCTCTCTGGACTCCCAGCGGAGATCAAGGGGGAGGGAACGGCCGATGCTCTCGCCGAAAGCGAAGGCCTGGCGGGCGGGACGGAAATGCCTGACGTGTCGTGAAACTCTTTTCCCCGGCCTTGAAGCGGGGTGGGGGTGGGGGGATAAGCCTCGGCGTATAAAAATCCACCGCGAAGGGATTTCCGGGACCTGACGGAAATTGCCGATGTCTGCCGAAGAAGAAAGGGCCTCGGCATCCGGAGGGGAGGAAGGCGGGCTCTAGCGCGAAGAAAGAGGAAGGAGGTCATTAAAACAAAACAGATCGAAGGGGGGCGGAGCTTGGGCGGAAAGAGCCGACGAGAGCCGACGTTAAGCGAAGGCGGCGGCGTCTGTGGTCCCCGGATGTAGTTGGACGGCGGTAGTGTTGGGAGCAGTGGCTGAGGGAGGAGGGGGGAGGAGGCGGCGGCGGCAGCAACTGAAGCAGCGGAGGGCGAGCGGGCGAGCGAGGGCGGGCGGGCAGGCAGTGGCAGCGAGGGGGGAGGGAAGACGTCGTCGTCGTCGCCTTCCTCCGCGCTTCTCTGCCTGTGCGCGGTGTGGGTTTTTTTCCCCCGCGGCGGCGCC